TAATAGAAAGAGGGCCCCAGCATGGACTGATCGGGAAGTCTTGGATCTCATCGCAGTGTGGGGCGATGAGTCCGTGCTTTCAGAGCTGCGCTCCAAAAGAAGGAATGCTAAGATCTACGAGAAGATCTCCAAAGCCATGGCAGAGAGAGGCTACAGCCGGGATGCAACGCAGTGCCGCGTGAAAATCAAGGAGCTGAGACAAGGCTACCAAAAAACAAAAGAGGCTAACGGACGCTCCGGATCCCAGCCCCACACATCCCGTTTCTACGAGGCACTGCATTCCATCCTGGGAGCGGCCGCCACCACTACCCCACCCCTGACCGTGGACTCCGAGGATGGGATCATGTCCGCGGCCGGTTCCTCGTCGGACATGACAGCGGACGGGGAAGATGAAGAAGGAGATGAGGAGGACGAGGCAGTCGACAGTGCTGGCACCGCTGATTTCCCCGACAGCCAGGAGCTCTTCATCACCCTTACCGAGATCCCGTACCAACCGTCCCCATCTCTTACCCCGGACACAGAATCAGGGGAAGGATCAAGCAGTAAGTGCTGTAAACATGTAAACATTTATTTAAAACAGAACGGTAATATTTATACTATTAACAATGTACATTTATAAAAGTTCTGTAAACTAGTAAAAAAATAATCAGGTACAAAACAGGAATATTTACAAAGGTAACAAATGGGTTTTCATGATTTCTCTGTCTTGGGCTCTTCTCAATTTAGTCCCAAGTGTTTTAAAAAATTTTCACAATGTCCGTTACTCCATGATTCCCAGGCCCAAGACGCTCCACTCCATAGTCCCAGTGCACCTACGCGAAAATCCGGTCAATGTGGCCGGGGATCGACGAGAAATCCTCGTAGGAGAACTCCTCGTAGGTCTCGTGGAGGTAGAGCTCAAGCCTGTTGATCAGGTTCCGGGGTAGGGCGATCTTAGTGGGCCCTCCGTGGTAGCAGACATGCCCCCTCCACGCCACAATCAAGTACTCCGGGATCATGGCCCGACATAGCATGGCGGCATACGGCCCCGGTTCCTGCATGCTTTCCCGCAGCATGCGTTCTCTCTGGGTGTCCGGGATCCTCAGGAGGGTGATGTCGCTCATGACGCCCTGCTTTGAATTAGGGAGGGGAATGTTAGTATTGGGACAGCTTTACAGCCACGCGGTGGAGGGAGAGGGGCAGCATACAGGGATCTTTCCCTGGGAGAGCCGCGAGGGGGTGGGACAGGGGCAGAGTTGATGCTGTCCTGATTGCTGGCAGCAGAGACTGGCATTGCTTTCAATGTGAAAGGAGGCCAGTGCTACTGCTGGAGTTTTAAGCAGCCACAAGTCTGCGGCTTACCATTATTGCCCGCTCCAGAAGTTCAGGTCTCCAGCCACAGTTCTCTGAACAGTCCAAGACCTCCGCAAGTCCACAGGCACTGAAGGCGACAGCCGAAAATTCGACCTTGTCCTGAGTGCGCATGTGAGAGGTGCAGTGCATGGTCTTGTTCACAGAGAAAGACTAGGTTCTTTGTATACAATTTCATTTATCTGTCTCAGGAATTCACTCCCTTTTCACAATTCACACAGACACATCTGCGACTGTCTCCCAACCCAGCCTCTCAGCACACTCCCAGAGGCTAGCGCAGATTAGGCGGAGGAAGAAGAAGACGCGTGAAGACATGTTCTCAGAACTAATGGGCTGCTCCCGAGCCCAGGCAGCCCAGCAGACACAGTGGAGGGAGAACTTGTCACAAATGCACCGAGCAGTCATGGAACGGGAGGAGAGGTGGCGTCAGGAGGACCAACAGGCTACTGAAAAGCTGCTTGGACTAATGAGGGAGCAAACGGACACGCTCCGGCGCCTTGTGGATGTTCTGCAAGACCGGAGGCAGGAGGACAGAGCCCCGCTGCAGTCTATCTGTAACCGCCCTCACCCGCCACCAAGTCCCACACCACCCTCACCCAAACTCCAAAGAAGGAGGGGCGGCAAGGGCCGTTAAAACTTTCAGTCAACCCCTGCAGACTGCTCTAGCACTAGAAGGCTGACATTCCCCAAAATTTCATAAGTCCTTTCCTACCCACCTCACACAAGCCCCCGTCCAAGTTTCACCCCCCACGTTTCATGTCTGGTTCGCAATAAAATGTTTGTTTCTCTCCATTACTGTTTCAGTCAGGTTCTTTTGAGGGAGAGTCTGTCTGGAGGGGGGGAAGGGGCTTGGTAATTGGGCAGGACAGTGACCTTTAGCAGGGTACAGAGGCGGTGTCAGGTCCAGCATCAGGACACATACACAGTGCAGTCACTGGTTACCCTGGTCAGTCTGGGAGGTGTTTTTCATGTTCTCCATTGAAATAACCAGTCCACCAGTGCGGAGCCTGTCATTCCGGGAGTTTAGAAGCATCATTTGCATCAGAACACTGAACCCGCCCCCCGCCACAGTCTGCGTCCCCGGTTTAAAATATTCCCGCGAAAACAGCAATACAGACAACGCTGTTCATTAACAAAATCGAAATGATTTTATTTTTTGGGAAGGGGAAGGGGGTGAAGGGGGTATGTAACTGGAGAGGATAGTCAAAATGAACTGGGTAAAGAAACGGGGGCAGGTTCAGCTTCTCTGTCCAGAAACTGAAAAGTCACTGGTTGCCCTGCTCACTCAGGAACCTAGCTTTCAAAGCCTCCCGGATGCACAGGGCGTCCCGCTGGGATCTTCTAATGGCCCGGCTGTCTGGCTGGACGTAATCAGCAGCCAGGCTATTTGCCTCTAGCTCCCACCCCGCCATAAAGGTCTCCCCCTTGCTCTCACACAGATTGTGGAGCACACAGCAAGCTGCAATAACGATGGGGATATTGGTTTCACTGAGATCACAGCGAGTGAGTAAGCTTCTCCATCTCCCTTTGAGACGGCCAAAAGCACACTCCACCACCATTCTGCACTTGCTGAGACGGTAGTTGAACAGTTCTTTTTCTGTGTCCAGGGCGCCAGTATAGGGCTTCATGAGCCAGGGCATTAGCGGGTAGGCTGGGTCCCCGAGGATGACTGTAGGCATCTCCACATCCCCAAGAGTTATTTTGTGGTCTGGGAAGTAAATACCTTCCTGCAGCCATCTAAACAGACCAGAGTTCCTGAACACACGAGCGTCATGAACCTTGCCCGGCCATCCGACGTAGATGTTTGTAAACCGTCCCCGATGGTCCACCAGTGCTTGCAGCACCATTGAAAAGTAGCCCTTTCTATTGATGTACTGGCTGGCCTGGTGGTCCGGTCCCAGGATAGGGATGTGAGTCCCATCGATAGCCCCACCGCAGTTTGGGAATCCCATCGCGGCAAAGCCATCTATGATGACCTGCGCGTTTCCCAGGGTCACTACCTTTGGGAGCAGTACCTTGACGATTGCCTTGGCTACTTGCATGACAACAACCCCCACGGTAGATTTGCCCACACCAAAGTGGTTCGCGACTGACCGGTAGCTGTCCGGCGTTGCAAGCTTCCAGAGGGCTATGGCCACTCGCTTCTGGACAGTGAGGGCTGCTCGCATGCGGGTGTCCTTGCGCTTCAGGGCAGGGGACAGCAACTCACAAAGTTCGAGGAAAGTCCCCTTCCGCATGCGAAAGTTTCGCAGCCACTGGGATTCATCCCAGACCTGAAGCACTATACGGTCCCACCAGTCCGTGCTTGTTTCCCGGGCCCAGAATCGCCGTTCAACAAAATCCACATGCCCCATTGCCAACGTCATGTCCTGGGCGCTGGGGCTCGTGGTTTCTGACAGCTCTGTGCCACTCTCCGACTTCAGGCTCTCACGGCGGTGCCGTAGCCTCCTCGCCCGATTTCTCTGCATCTGCCTCAGGGAAAGGTGTATGATAAGCTGCGAGGTGTTGAGAACGGCCACAAGTGCAGCGATGGTCGCAGCGTGATCCATGATCGCAGTGCTGTGGCGTCCGCGCTGTCACTGACCAGAAAAGTGCGCGAACTGATTTCCCGCCGGCGCTTTCATGGAGGGAGGGAGGGCGTTAGTGACGGACGGATGACGACAAATTTTTTTTACCCAGAAGGCATTGGCGGCTCGACCCAGAATTCCGATGGGCAGCGGGGACTGCGGGAACTGTGGGATAGCTGCCCACAGTGCACCGCTTCCAATATCGACGCTCGCCCCCTTAGTGTGGACTCACAAAGTCGAATTACTGTCCTTAGTGTGTCCTTAGTGTGGACACACACGTTCGACTTTGCAATATCGATTCCACATATTCGATTTAAGTAAAATCGAATTACCCTCGTAGTGTAGACATACCCAAAGAAGCCACCATTTATCTGAAGCCTTGTTCACATGGAGTTTCATCTGCCTATCAAACCCTAGATCAGTGGTTTTCAACCTGTAGTCCGTGGACTCCTGGGGGTCTACAGACTATGTCTAAGATTTCCAAAGGGGTCCGCACTTCCATTTGACATTTTTTATGGGTTTCCAAATGAAAAAAAAAAGGTTGAAAACCACTGTCCTAGATAAATGGGTTATTGCTGTATTCAGCTAAAAGAGAACTTAGAAGTCAGGCCTGTGTTAGCTGGGCACTTTGAACCAGGAACATATTCATAAATATGTACCTTCCAGCATTCTAACCCGCCACTTTATGATCCCATGGGGTGTGGGGGGGGGGGGTTCTGTACAAAAAAATGGTGCAATTCTTCAGGAGCTACAGCAGAAGTGAGTCAATAATTGAATTACAGTGTGCCATTCTGAAAAGCGACACTGAAAATGGCATTTTGGGCTTCCATGTTTGTTTTTCACTGATTTCCAGATCAAATGTGCTCAATTCAAAAGTAAAAAAAAGGGGGGGGGGTCAAATCCTGACCCATTGAAGTCAATAACAATGCTCCTCTTGACTTCAATGGAACCAGGATTTTACTCCGGCAGTTTTTCTAACTACCAGCCCTGCATGCTCAACCTCGGGCTGAGAATCAAGCTTGAATCTTGCCTCACATTTAATGAATGTCTTCCCTCAGCAACACATATACAACCCCATTGTTGTCAGCGTCCTGCAGCATGAACATGACTAAAAAGAAGTAAAAACATATCTTTGTCACTAAAGCCAGCTGTTCTGATTCTGAATACATTCAGGAAGCAGGTCTCTTGAGTAAAAAGGTATCCTTTACCATGGTCACTTCTCAGAGGAAACCCTCCCTTCAACTGCTTTTGAAATAACATGTAAAGGTTCCCATTTCTCCTGTTTTTTATTCTCCCCCACTTTAGAATGTGCAGCTTTTTAATCATTTAAAAAATCTTTTTACATGGATCCAGTTTGTCTATCTCCATCTCTCCAATTATAGAGTTTTTATCCTGTCATTGTTTTCTTTTGAATGTGTTTATTCTTTCTCTCCATTGTTTTTCCTTTTTTTCTGTCCTTTAACTCTACCTCTTTTAATGTGTCATTTCCTGTATAATTATTTCCATTTTTAACCTTACGTTCTCCTCTTCCCTCTCCCCTTTTTCTGGGCACACTGTCTACCCCTCCCTACTACCTCTACCCGTGAAGGAAAACATGTCTCACCTCCCATTTCTTTGTCATTCCCCTCAGTCGCATCCTCTATTTTCCTTCTTCTCTCACCAAGGGAAAGGTATATTTCAAATCAGAATATAATCCTTGAGGAAGAACTGATTTATTTTGCAGTTGATTTCCCCCATGTTTTAAGTTTCTACAATGATTTGTATCCAGGCTACTCTTGCCTCTTCTGATATGTGAGCATAAAGAAAGATTGATAAAGCATCTCATCCTGGTCCTGTTGTCATCATAAAGGGCAAAACTCCGGTTGAACTCAGTGGTGCAGGATCAGGGCCAAATAGAGCCTTGCTTCTTTGGCACTGAGTTTGTGAACAGTGCAATGGAAGCAGCTAACCTTATAGCTATGAAGACAATGCCTAAAGAAATGGCTCGCAGAAGGCTTTTTTCTGCAAACAATCTGTGTTATTCTTTCAGGAGCTGTGCTATGAAACTGGGGTCGCCTCATTAGTGTGCAGCAATGACTGAGCTCAGATTGGGTGTTGTACATCCATCTGGAAGTACAGAAACCTCATTTCTAATTCAGATGTGGTTTGAAAACATTTATTGCAATAAACACATTAATTCAATGCAATATTAAAGGATCAGCTATTAACACAAAGTAAAGCAGTTATCTCCAAACACTCATGGTAGAAAAATACTCAACTGTTACAAACAACAGAACACAAAACCCCAACTATTAGCTAATGAATTAATAGGTCTTCCAGATCAGGAAATATTAATGGAAAAACAGATGGGGACTTGCACCAAAAGATGAGATGCGAGAAAGAGATTGAAATTAATAAATAGAGGAGCATTAAGCAGCAACACTAACATTTTCCTTCCAGTGTAAAAAATAATGGCTTCTGTACATTGGTAGCCAGTGTATCAAGGTACAGTACAGTCATTTGTATCTTAAGGGCGTTTTCGCTCAAGATCTTGATGCGCTGACGTGAGCAGAAAATGAAATACTGGCTATGAAAAGGAAATTAGCCAGTTGGATATTTGGTATGAAAAAATCTTTCATAAACAGGTCATCTAGAGATACTGAACAGAATACAATGACTGTATTTGGTACTGACTGTTTTGAGTGGGCAGAGTGAAATATTGAAACGTGAAAACAAGCTGCTCTGATGTTGGCTTGAGCCAACAATTATGAGTTATACTTAATATCATTAGCAAACTCTTTAAAGGCCAGAGAATGCTGTTCTTGTTTTAAAATACTGGGAACCTCCTCAAACAACCTCTCTAATGCCACATGAATGGATTGTGGTCAATGCTGTCCCCAGGCAACTGTTGCACCCGTTAGTATAATACAGTAGTGTTATATAGCACTGTCCCATGTTTTTTCCAACACCACTTTGCACATTCAGTGTCTTAATCACTGACTTTGTCTCGGAATAACTGACGTGCTTTGGTCCCTCTAAAGTCCCTTCACAGTTTGTATTATTAGCAACTGACTCCTGGCATGGGTGCATGACAAGTGCCTGAAACTCCTTCTGTATTTGAGTCATGCTCGGCTGTTAGCTGCTGCTGCTGCACAGACATTTCATATGATGGTGGTTGTTCCTCCTGAAGGCTGGTTTCATCTATGAATTCCATGCTGCTTTCAGTATACAGTGGCGGAGGGATGTTGTAGATCTCTTCCTCTCTTGCTGAAAGGGAGAGTGGTATTGGGAAAGTCTGCTTTCCCGGATCAGTGCTATCTTCATAGCACGGAGGGTAGAAATCAGGCCTGAAAAATAATCACACCAAAAAGATTCACTAGTTAGAAGAGATTTATATGAGCTGGGCCTGGTTAGATATGTTTGCTTTTGTCACCTTGTCACAGTTTATCTGAGGTTTAAAATATAAACTGAAATCATGAAATCTGGCTAAGAAGGAATAGATCAGCTGGAAACATATGAAACAGATCTGCTGATCTAGCATCCTGTGACTTTCTCTAAAGTGTGCCATTAAAATAATTTTCAATATCAGCCTCAAAAGTGAATTTAATTGACAAGGTTTCCTGACTGTCATGCAAATATCACCCACCGATTGTCTATAGTACAGCAGCTGCCCTAAAGGACACTCGGATTTGAAAAGGGAGTATATTTCCTGCCAAAGTTGATTGCATGGTGATTATTTTCCGCTCTCCACAAATTTTTAAGTGCTATCCGTATTGTCCTGGTTATCTAACCAGGGTTTGTGATGCGATGTATTTATAGAGCTGTTACAGCACCTATTGTCAGTGTTTATGGTGGTGTTACCACAACAGACAGCAAGACCCTGTTACAAACTTTGCCAGGCCTAGGGCCAACCAGTTTAAGAAACTGTCTGTTGGAAAGCATCAGACTTCACTCAGAAATAGCAGAGATATTTACACAGAAACCTCAAGCATAGACCATATAGGGAATTGTGAATCATTCCAGTGTTTTGGCCTCCCTGGAAGGACTGTGCTGAGGAGCAATACCAAAACGCTGGCACAGCCACGGCTGTCGATTACGGTGATACAACTGGGCCAGCTGTGCTCCTGGAGTAATTCCACTGCAGCCAATGGAGTTGTGCCTGTTTTCCCCAGGAAGTTTTCCCAGTATGTGTAATCACTAAGAATAGTTTTTCGGGAATATATCCTGTACATTGATTGTATCACCTAAACTGCTGCTGTTACTGTCCTAACTGCAATCCACTGCATATGAAACGTTCAGGCTCCTGTTCTGTGCCCATACAAATAGAATAAAAAGTCTTCTACTAGCTGCAGGTTACTTTTCTTTGATAGAATGCTATGTCATTTATTTCCCTTGAGGATACATTTACAAAATGCAACACCCAGTTTGCCCACACATACATTGCAGTACATACCTGTCTATGGTGTTGATGTGCATTTCTCTATGGCTGGGATTTCTCTGGAAAATATAGAACAGGTTTTTGTTTTTTCTGACTTCATGGTACGTGCTCCAGAAAATCCCAGTCACAAGGAGTAAGAACCCCAAAGGTAACAGAGAATAAGCAATGGGCAGATTATTCCCACATCTGCACAAAGAGGAACCTGTGGAAATGCAAAAGGCTCCCATGCAAATAATTGAGAAGCCAGTTAAGAGCACAAAGATACGAAAGATAGAGAAAAAAGTTTTTGGCATCCTCATGGTTAAACACAGCATCTAGTTCTTTCTCTCTCACGCTCACACTTTCTCTCTCCGCTATGCTTCGTATCTGCATTCGTCAAGGTTTTATGCACTCCAGGATCAACTGGCCTTTGGACAATTAAGAGAAGCAGGCAGTTATACGATACTCATTAACTCATCGAAGTCGCCATAATATCTTTAGGGATTAATTTATAATTATAAGGCTGCTTTAAGAAGAGGGGAAAATTCTTCCTGTGTCATTTCTTTGCCAGTGTAAACTTTGAAAACCATTCTTGCATACTGTGCTTCTCAATGAGTTAAACATTAGGGTTTGGGTTTGAATAGAAACCACCAACCTCGCCAGCTTTGGGGCAATGCTTTCTAGCACTGAAGGTTTCTTTAAAAAAAACAAAAAACCTTCATTGTTCCTAATTCTCTGTTAAAAGCTTGAAGAAAAAATGTGTGTCTACTGATTATGAATTCTTTCTTTCACTCTTTCCAACTGAATGTTAAATAACTGTGGCATTTCTTATAGCTCACTTTCTAGTTTCCACACCAGGAACATCAATGATCAATAAAAATTACATAAATTCAACAAAACAGTCTAAGGGCCATGTAAGTTTGGTTCTTCTCCTCTTCCCCAAATTCAGCTCCATGTTGATTATTTTTTCTTTACTCTGTCTTCTTTCTCCCAGCACCAGCTATTGACTTAGGAGCCTATTTTTAAAGATATTTAGGTGCGTCAAGATGCAGATAGGCACCTAGTGGGATTTTCAAAAGCTCCTAGGCCCCTAACACCCACTGAAATCATCCAGGTGCTTTAGAAAATGCCAGTGGGCACCTATCTGCATATTTAAGCCCCCAAAACTGTTGAAAATGTCGCTCATTGTCCCTGTCCCTACAAGCATACCAGCTAATATTTAACATGGCAAAACAAACTCCATAATCAGAACTCCATTTGTTTAATAATGCCACTTTGTCTTTCAGTGGGGAGGAGAATTAACCATACCGTACCAAGAAATGTAGTCATCTCTTTCCCGCTTAGTGTCAAAACAATGTCATTCTAAAAGATAGGCTTTAGTTCAGCCACCGCTGGGTTCAATGCAGGAATTAGTGGGTATAATTCTATGGCCTGTCACACTAGATGATCATATGGATCCCTTCTGGCCTTAAGTCTATGAGAGTGATTCTTTCTTCCACTAAAGCCCCTGTACGCCACTGCCATGGTATATAGGGGTCATAAAAGCCTCACAAGTCCTGGACAGGGGCCATGCCAGTGGGGAGAAAGGGGCATATTGGATAGAGGAAGGGCCATAGCACATGCCACTGTGACCATTCTGCACACCTCCATGGGCTGCCCAAGTAGGGTGACACATTACAGTAGCTCTTGTGGCTTCTTAATTACTCTGGGTTGTTTTGCCGTCTGACCAGCCCAGGACCCCAAAGGCACAAAGGTCACCTTTGCCTCACCCCTTCCTGGAGGCACAGCACACAATCTCACCCTGTGACTCTATTCCTGTATTGTTTAGTGGTTTAATTATGATTATTTATTAGCATTGTATTTTACCTGTGTGGGCACCACCTCAAACATTTTGCTAGGGACTCTTGATAAATAATATGCTTATTTGTTTATTTTGTCACAAAGTTGCATTACATTCTGGTGAAAAATGTACTTTTTAGCCCTCTTCCGCTGTATCAGTGCATCTACTCAATGGAACCAGCCCCCAAACAAGTGAGTGCAGCAGATTTTTCTACCAACTATGAGAAGGTGTTTTGAGGTTGGTCACCTTTTCATTTTCTGTGATACCAAAGGGACCATACAGCAAAAGTTGGCAAAAGCCTGTCTTAACAGAGCAAAGCATTCACATAAAGAGCTGTTGGGGCCAGTTTTTACTGCAAAGTTAACTCATGTTATAACGCGAATCTTCCTGTTAACTCAACCACCATCCACACACAAAAACCCCACACTCAAGTGCGGTGGCGCTATTAACTCAAGTTGGTTGGCACAATTGGCCTGCTAACATGACCACTCAGTAACGTGAATGCAGGCTAGTGTCACTGGAGTGCTGCCAGTCTTCCAATGCCTTCCCACAATTCCCCATAGTCATATTTTCTTGCTCTCTTCCTATTCATCTAGCCTGGACATCACCTTCACTCCCCATAGAAGAAACAAAGTAATAATTGTACAGCAAACCTCCTCCGTCAGAACCAACAATTAACTTGCCAAAACCAAACTGATCGGTAACAATCTGGGGTGGCCAGATTCCAGATAGCAATAGCCACCTGTTTTGGAACTGTTATGGCACCCTCTCACCTGTGTGTCCTGGTGCTGAAGAGCCTGACACTTCTCCAGGAATATGGTCTTGCTTGTACAGAAGTTCTGCGTCCACTGCTAGTCATCCCAGGTCTGCATGACAATGCAGTTCCACTATTCTGAGCTTGTGGTCCTGCTCCAGAACTGCCAGTCATTATAAGGGGGGCTTCATCACCCACTAAAAACTTCACCCAATAAAAACTCCTCCAGTTCTGCATGCAGCTTATGTGCTCTTCTTAACAAAGCATACCACCTCTTTCCCATGATGTCAAGCCATTGCTGAAATGCCTGCCACTGCATCTCACACCCTGTATCTTCCTCCTGTTGCCAGAATGAGAGTTGCAGTGGAGCCCGCGTTTGGTATAGGTTCCTCCAAGTTAGATCCTCACCCTGCTACTAGTTGGGAAAAACTTGTGGAACTGATGCCAAACTAGAACTGATTCAGTTGCGGTGTTAGGCTAACACCAGTTTCGCCCATGTGCACAGACAGGACAGACAAGTGCTCCCACGTTACACTGCAAAAAATTCCTAGCATGGCTCAGTTTACTGCAATGCTAAGACCGATGGGATGCGCCCACAGCAGACAGCACAAGTGAGTAGAGTAGCAGTGCGGATACAGGGCATTAAAGCAACTCAAGTATTATTCTGCCATGTGACTGCTCTCACTCAAGCTAGGCAAACAGAGAAATAATTCAAGTGTAGATCATTCAAGCTAACTTTCCAGTAAAGATACACTGTGTTTTTCACACATTTTAATAAATATTTTAGCAAAACTTACAACGTAGAATAAAACAAATACATAAGCAGTGTTCTTGCTTGTTAATTGTTGATATAAGGATCTTAGCACAGGAATCTGAGTTATTTCCTGTGAAATAAAAATAAATTACCTTGAAATTTGAACTCAGAATTCTGCTTATCTGAAGGGAATGACATGTTATTTTTCCCACCTTTTTGATAAGAGTGAACTACTATACATTGTTCCTCTGAATGTTGCTTACATGTTTCTTGTAGTGTTCAGCTAGGTATTTGCCTTAGTGTAGTTGAAAGGTTTATAGTGGAACTTGCTCATAATGAACTCAGTTGCAGTGAAATTCTGCCTATAAGGAAGTGGAGTGAATTTCCTGAATGTCAAGTATCAGAGGGGTAGCCGTGTTAGTCTGAATCTGTAAAAAGCAACAGAGGGTCCTGTGGCACCTTTAAGACTAACAGAAGTA